TCTTTCTTTCTTTCTTTCTTTCTTTCTTTCTTTCTTTCTTTCTTTCTTTCTTTCTTTCTTTCTTTTTCTTTCTTCCCTTCCCTTCCTTTCTCCATTGTGCTTCTATGCTAAATAGTAAAGATAATTTGCAAAACTCTCTTAATTGCAACCTTCATTAAATATGCATATATGCATGCAATAAAGAACATATGGTTTCTTTTGTTTCTATGAAGTGCAAGTACCTGTGAGTGGTATTCAAGATTATCCCATGACTTCTGGAAATCTTCCTCAGATCTTCTAATTTCAGTTTTAGGTATAAGAAATGTTTAAAAATCAATTTTGTTTTACTGAACAGGACAGACAACATGCCTGCCTCTATAATATTTCTATATTACATATAATTTTTGTCACATCTGGTTTTTAAAAATATACAGTTCTATATACTGTATATTCCAAAATACACAGTTTTCCTAATCACTAGAAGTCTTCAAACACAATTTCACCAGATTGTGCTGCAGAGCCAATGAAATACAGTAAGATAAATCTTGAATGCTATATTCAGCCCTTTATTTTACTGGGGAAATCAAGGAACAAAAATGACTTTCCTGATCATTTTCAAGACAAGCAACTCTTGGGGCAACATCAGAATAGTAAATATGTTGAATTTGGCACAAAGATCTAATTCCACCTAGAATGACAATCATCATTATTGCTATACATCTTTTTTAAAGACAATGTAAAAATGACTCTTCAGCAAGATAATAATAATAGAACATCTATCAGCTTAAAATGTATTCCATTACAAACATGTCCTGTTTAATTTCTGGGTAATACTTCACCTCTTCTCTGAGCTCCTTCATCCTCTCCTCAAAGTCATAATCCTTCTGCTTCTCCTCCATTTTTTTCTTGTTCACTTCAAAACGTTTCTTCACCTGATCCAGAGTAGAACGCTCTACTCTCATGGACATACCAAGGTTCCTCTGATCTAGAAAAAGCAGGGACCAATTAAATATTTTGGGAATTGCCTAAAAACCTTATCAATACTTTAACAGGCAACACATGCAGAATGTATTGTTTTCTTGCAGCTGAGCAATATTTTTGCACACATAAGTAAAGCTTGCTGTAAATATTACTTTGAAACTTCTTTTAATTCTGCTATGTTTTTATTCATCCTCCTAGAATAATGCAAGGGTTTATCCTCACCCCAACCATTTATCCAAATCTATATACCAAGTTAGATTAGTATTCCTGGGCTTGTGGGGATGGAGGGGGGGTTTATTAAAAGATGAGTTTTAGAACACTTTCCTTTTTAATATTGATGGTACTGATATGCTGCATAAATGACAAGCGATGAACCTACATGTGTTTGCTGCACTTATAACTTCTACTACAGATGGGTGGCTAAGTGCTAGGCATTCAATCATATGGTGACTTGCTTGACAGAATTAAAGCTCATGGGTATAACATGCCATGTATTGTAGTCTGGCACATAGTGGCACAGAAGAGTATGTGGCCATGTTACACCCTGGCATTAATGAAAGCAAAAATAATCATTCAGTCCTGGAAATCATATGTATGGAGTAGAATGCTAAAATCCAGGATTGTCAAAGCACATTCCTTCAAAATGCTATCAATTCCACCTGCCAGCCCCATTAAATAAACAGAACTGAACAGCTTCAGTGCCTGGATGAGAAGATGTTAGGAGGAAGGTTTGGATTAGTGAAGCATTAGAATACTTTTGGGAACAACCAGGCTTCTGCAAATAGGGGACGACCCACATAAACCAAGAACATACCAGATTGCTGGAAAATATTATCAAAAAATGTGGCAAAGCAGCTTTTAAACTAATTCTGGGGGGAGGGGGAGCTAACAGAATGTAAGGAGTATTTGGTACAGGAAGAAACCACTCCAGAGGATGAGAGTATAAATTATTATAATGGTTTAAGAGTGGGTGGGCAGTGCAGATCTAGAAAATTAGTGTAGTTGATCAAGAAAGCCGTATGGGAGGAAATTAAATGAAGATATTGTGTGTAAGCACTTGTATGCAAATTCCAGAAGTCCCTTAGTCAAAATGAGATGTGTTTAATGCTAGAAGAGAACACAGTTATATGACAAGTATTACAGAAATCAGGTGAAATAGAGAGAAGCAATTGGATATATTTTTGTTGAGATATAAGTCATACAAAGGGCAGGAATTACTGCACAGAGGGGCTCTATGTCTCAAAGAAGCAGTTTGTGAACTAGTATTCAAAAGTGAAGCACACTCTTCCAGAGAATCCCAGTGGTGCAGGATATACTACTCCCTACTACTTTCAGAGCCAGGGATAATCCCTAAGTGGCTAACTGTTTAGGACTGTAAATCGACTTCCCGTTTGGCATCGCTGAGCGACAGTCGTGGGTAGGGGGCTCCATGAACCCAGGCTGAATCCTCATTGTTGGAGGGCCCTAATGGGCTAAAGCATGGGTGTCAAACTCAATTTCATTGAGGGCCGCATCAGGGTTGTGTTTAAACTTGGGGGTGCCAGGATGGGGGCAGCCAGGGTGGGCATGGCCAGCTCGACGTCACTTGTGTCAAGGGCACTTGTGGCGGCCCAAGTGCTCTGCCAGTGAAAATGGGCTCCCAAGCTCCTTTTTCAGCTGTGATGGCTTCCTGCAACCCTCTGCTAGCAAAAACGGGTTCTGAAGCTCTGTTTTTGGCTGTGACAGCCTCCTGCAACCCTCTGCCAGTGAAAACAGAGCTTTTGAGGGCCACACACAGCCCTCCCGAGCTCCATTTCTGCTGGCAGAGGCACCATGGTCCAGTACTTTGCTGTTTCCAGGGCAGCCACATGGGCCGGATGCATCCACATGGGCTGGATCCGGCCCCAGGACTTGAGTTTGACACCCCTGGGCTAAACTCATCCTGAAGGGGTAATGAAGAAAGGAGGGACACTTTGCAGGTCGCGGAGAGCAATGACTCTTCTGCTTGATCCAAGGCTCCCTCCCATCCAACAACAAAGAGGAAAGGTGGCCATTAGGGCCACCCTGAAGCTGGGACAACTGAAGAAAGAAATGTGCTGGAGCGGTTTGTGAACAGTGGACTGGAACTGGGTGACATGATTTTTAACTTCTATATTAGAGATCTAATCTCAAAGAAAATAAATTCCGAAAGAAAGATTCTCTAAAGTGGTGAAAAAGCGGCGAATAAACAGAAAAATTACAGACCCGAAAAAAAGTGAAACCTAAGGTAGAACACAAAGTTTTAAAATATAAAAAGACTGGACTCAAATATTTTATTGGTAATATTTTGAACAGGCATTTTAAAATTTTGGGAATATTTGGTTGATTATTGGAAGAAATTTCTTGAAGAAAATTGGAACAGCAATCAGTTGTTAGATTTTGTATAACATTGAAATTTTAGGTGGTGGTGTCATCTACTGGAGAAAGAATATACACTATATTTTTACAAGGTTGGAATAACCTTGAAATAATCTGAGGACTGATAAAATAGAAAAGAGAATGGAGACAAATAACAACTGGAAGACTGACTTTTTGCATATTGTTCTATACCTATTTGCTGCACAGCTGAGGAGGAACAAATTTTGAGACTTTTGAAGATTTCTAAGTAGAGTGGATTACAAATATCTGGAATTATCATTGAAATTAAAGAATTGACTATGTGACTTAAGAAGACATGGGGAAATCTGATGGATCACTTAGGATTATAAATGTTGTCTGATAACTGCTTAAAAGGTGAAAGAAGAAGAATTTAAAAAAAGACTTTTTGGAGAACTTGGAAGGACTAAACTGACCTATTGAGGACTATAAAGGACTATAAATATTGTGCTTCATGAGGTATAATTTGGGGGCTACTCAATGTTTCAATATTGGCTTTTTGGTGTTATGGATAACTGAGATTTTGGGACTGGTAGATTATAGAATAACTTTCTAACTTACAAAATAAGGCAAAATGCTTCAACATGGAAAAATAAGTGTATTTCAAAAAGAAATATTATTGATGTTTTAAACTACAACAACCATAGGGAGATAAAAGACTTGACACATGACATAATTGTAAGACCAGAAAATACTCGGCAAAAAACAGTAAAAAATGAACAAGAAATCCAAGAAAGAGGAGAAAATAGAAGAAAAAAAACAGAGGAAAGAATAGAGCAAATAAAGCAACAAATGAAACAAGAAAACAAGGAGAAGATAATAAAAATTTATGAATCCGATCAGGCATATTATACATTAAGACTTTAACAAATAGAATTGGATAAACAGACATTCCTGAAGTGAGATAGAGGCACTGATAGGCATATTGAAGGTCTGGCAGTGAGAGGTAGATATAGAGATAAAGGAAACATTTAGATCAAACAGGAGTATGGAAAACATGCCAAAAAATAAACAAGAATTGAAATACTAAAACGGACAAGAGATAATGGATAGAAATAGAATACCTCCTAATATAAAATTTGTTTTATTAAGAATTAGAATAGAAGTAGAAACTAGAAAGGGGGAAAATATTATTATGCATATTTCTATATAATATTTTAAAATTAATATGTAGAAGTAAAGATCAGAAATTGAAAAATGATTCTATCTATACTTAAATAATATTACTATGGTTATCAGTATTATGTATAAAAATATTGAATAATTAAATGATGAAGGAATATATACATGGTGGAGCAAATACTAACATGTAAATAACTTTAATTTTAATATTTATATTATTATAATCATGTATGATTACTGTAACCAATATTATTATTATCACTATTATTTTGTATCAAAACTAATGATCCCCAGATGCCACACTGTTTATGTATTCAATATTTATGTATATTTAAAAGTAAAATAAAATTTTAAAAAAGGACTGAAAGGACTTTTAAAAAATCAAACAGCTCTGAAACAGCTCTAAAATACTATCCTCCAGCTAGGTGAGTACATCTCAATGGCCAAGGCACCAAATTTCGCAGCACACATAAGAAAACTTCCCCTCCCCACATTTTGCAAAAGAATTAATGAGCTCTGTATTGGCAGTGACTGATGAGAAAGGGGAGTTCAGAGTCATGGTAGATGAAAGGTTCCATCTCACAGTAAAAAAAAAAAGTCTAATATGGAATAATTAAGAGGGGAATTGTAGCAAAATCTGTATATTTAGTGAGGTCCTTATATAAATGTGTAGTAAAATCATACTTGGAATTGTGTATAGCTCCGATCACCCCTGAAAAAAAATTGTACAAGAGCAAATAAACCTGATCAAAATACTATAATGAGGGGATGATGTGATATCACCTGATATCACCTGGGTATGTCTAGTTTAATGAAAAGAAGGACTAGGGAAGACATGATAGCACTATTCCAATATCTCAGGGGCTGCCACAAAGAAGAGGGAGTCAGGTTATTCTCCAGAGCTTGAGGCCAGGACAAGCAGCAATGGGTGGAAACTAATCAAGGAGAGAAGCAACTTAGAACTAAGGACATTTCCTGACAGACAGAACAATTAATCAGTGGAACAACTTGGCTCCAGAAGTTGTGAATGCTCCAACACTGGAAGTTTTTAAAAAGATGTTGGATAACCATTTGTCTGAAATAGTGTGAGGTTTCCTGCCTAGGCAGAGGGTTGGACTAGAAGAGCTCCAAGTCCCTTTCAACTCTGCTATTCTATTCTGTTCTGTTCTGTTCTGTTCTGTTCTATTCTATTCTATTCTGATATCCACAAGACTGATAACTGTCTCCCAGATAAGGAAATCTGTATACATTCCTCCACAACAAGCAGGACCTTCCAGAATAATGATCTTTAATAATGAAATCCCCTCACAACTATTTCTCTCCAAATGAGAAAGCTTTTATTTATGAGAGGGCAGTAATCATGGATCTGTCCCCAAACTCCTCTCCGGACATGTTTGGAGGAGGAGGAGGAGGAGGAGGAGGAGGAGGAGGAGGAGGAGGAGGAGGAGTTGTTTGAGTCAGTAGAGGAATGCACAGAACCATGTAATG